TCTTTCATGCTATTGTGCTAAGCAGTTTCACGATGCGGTAAAACACAGGTTTGCTGCGCATGTTTCACAGAAAACACTTGCTTTCTGTTCAACTTTTCTTTGTTCATAGCATAATTTACAGTTCCTGAACCTCCAAGAACTGTCTCTCTCGCTGTACGTCGGCTTCTGAAAAATATGCATCCAGGCATATCTATTTGTGCTTTTGCATAACTCTCCAATAACTTCAACAGTAAAAAACAAAAAGTCGACAGCGCTTACGAAGTGCCGCACAGCACTACGTAACACGGCTCCAAGGTTTACTCCTGGCTGCCTCCGCGCACGAAACTGCGCTCCCTGCGCTGCTGCCGGCAAGTAGTCCTACCCGAAGGGAGTGGACACCTTGCAGATAAGAGCTCTAACCTTCAGAACACATCGGGTCAACTTACACCGATGCGCGCCAGCAATAGCGTGGCTCTAGCACTAAGCTAAACACGGCGGTGGACGACTGCTAATGTTCCGAGGCAGTTTGACGAACTCTCCTCATCCGCGCTGAAATCAAAATTGTCGATGTCATGTTCCTAGCCTGGGCTGTGGTCCTCATTTGAATATTCCAGCCCAGATGCACGAGAACCACTCGAAATTCGCCATTTTCATGAAGTAGTCGCACGCGACATCGACGCCATAATTGAAACAATGCATGCTCACTCGCGCGCATAGAAAGGCGCTTTAAAATAACCACATGGTGGCAAAAGAGAAACACAAAAGCAAAACTGATAAAATACTTTTTTTTACGCGTTAGATAGCGCAAGGGGTCCAAAAGTGTTCGAAACAGGGCAAATATACAAGTTGTAAACATCGAAAACATACTATTGATGGGGATAGATGTAGTCACGAATGTGTTAAATAAGTATCTGTTATAATAAAATGGTTGTATAGCCACTCATTAATTACCATATAATAAGACTCTATGCACTGATTTTCTATATATGTTGCCATTTCCACAAACTTCAAAACAATTTTCTGTGCCACTTAAAGGGCCCCTCACCAGACCCAATTGAACATTATGGTGATTGATGGTATATTGTAATGATATTGCCGTAATAAGAAATCCAGGGAGTGTTTCACTGCAAGAATTTTTCAGACTGGTATATCACTGATAAGGACGGGATCGCCTACAGTAGCATTGAATGCTTACAGAAGGTGAGCTTTATTGCCAGCGGAGACACTCTGCACCTTTGTCCAGCATGAGTGTGTAAGCGACATTCCTTCTCGGCCTTCTCACGTTCTATAGCCAAGCCACTCATTGTGTTTGTTATGAGCCATTGCAGCCTTTTCTTTCTTTCCTTGCTGTGTGGCACACTTCAAGGGCAGCGTGTCTACCAACTGGGAAAACGGAGGAATCTCAGGGGTTTTTCTTTGTCTAGAAAATCTCTGGAAAAACTCGGTGAATTTGGGCTTCTGTCTGAGAAAATCAGCTGAAACTTTATTGAGGGGACTAAAGGCGTGTTCACACTTGGCCTCGAAAGGCGCATTCACACTTGGCCTCAAAAGTTGCATTCACATGTGGCCTCGAAGGCGCAATCACACATGGCCTCAAAAAGTGTGTTCACATTTAGCCTCGAAGAGAGTGAAAGTGGCGACACTCTCCGGAAAATGGCTTGTTTCGCCACCCAAGCAGCCGGAAAAATACGGCGCGCGGCTGGCGAGCAACTATCGGCCGGAGACTGTTTTTCCCGCCATGAAGCAGAAACCTATTCGTTTTGCGCTTCACGGCTTAGGCTGTGATAGATCGAACCGCGGGATCTAATCAGCCGGTTGCAGATTCAACATGGCGGCAAAGGCGTTGGCGGTGGCTCGCATCGGCTCAAATTGTGAAGTACCCGTGCAGCACGATGAAACTTGACGGCGTCAACAAGGACGTTGAGAGCCTAGTTTGGATTATGATCGTTGAGAACTCTGGAATTAGATGGTGCAGCAGCAGCGAGTCCGCGTGCCCCAACGTGTCTCGCGTTTGTGTACGGCCAGCTGATTTCAGTAACGCTGCCGGTGCGTTCCCTCGTGTCGTTTCTTCTAGCTCGTGTCGTTTCTGCTAGCTTAACTTGAATTCGGTATGAAACTTGGCACTCGGAAAGCAGGCAATATCGAAATAATTCTCAAAATAGCGATGCCAGAGGCTGCGTCAGGGGCAGAACGAATGTGAACATTCTTGACACGTGCGGTTGTGCTTTTTTGGCCGCTCTTGCGATTTTGTTTTAGCTTCACTTCTTAATGATGGCGTGACAATGCGTCAGACACCGAGCGGCGGCGCGTCAACCTTCTCGCTACCCGGAAACAGCCGCCGGCATTGCTCAGAAAGACTGTGAAGGATCGAGAAAGAAGGAATGACGCCGCGACTCTCAGTGCCATCGGCGGAAAGTATCTAAGAAAACTGGAAGTGCCCATAGCCTCCGCTGTGCTGCACGCAAGCAAAGGCATCAGAATCGTCTGGAATAGGGGCGTGAGGCTATAAAAATGTGTAGGGGCAATGAGCAGCCAGTCTCAATCGCATGCTTTCCTTGCGTGCAGCACAGCAAAGGCTACAGACGCTTCCAGTCTTCTCTGGAACATCGCGCCAACAGCGGCAATGCAAGCGGCGGTGTTATGCATTCTCTCTTGATCCTTTGCAGCTAAAGTTTACTAAGATGTAAACTTGCGCTGGCGTCACTGGGCTGAACTTCTTTAGCTTTGCTTAAGGCACAGTTTGCAGTTATAAATGATGCTGACACCAAAATACTGTTCCTGATATTTTTATGTAGGTTTTTCTCGACTTTACACATTTTGTACATTCAAATTCCGCATTCAAGTAATTTGACTTATATTTTGCACAAAGCGTTGCACATGCTTACTTGGCAGTGATAGCATTTGGTAGCATGGTGCCTTCTTGTATTGATGTGGCAGAAAGTTAAGTGCCACTCGGGGAAAGCCTGGAAATCTCGGGGAATATTGAAATGCTGACTTAATAGACATTCTGGGGGGCCAGTACTGTGTTTTTCAGGGGACCAACCTATTGAAGAAAGAGCACACTGAAATAAACACCCAATGAAAGCACACACATGCACACTCATAACGCTACTTTCAACAGTTTTATTTTGAGATTCCAACACTACCCATAGGGCAGAAAAATGAGCTCATCTGCCGTGCAAAAGTAACAAGAACATTACTAGGCATCATAATGCACACCAAGGAAATCATTATTTCTTTATTAGTGTGATACAGGAATGCTGATTTCCAAGAATTTAGGAAATCAAATTCTTTTTTTATCTGTGCAATAAAAGCATGCTGGTTTTCAGAAATTTAGGAAATCAAATTCTTTTTTTATCAGTGGAATAGGGCATGCTGATTTCCAAGAACTTGATTTTTTTGATGTTCATTATGATGTCTAGTGATGTTCTTGCTACTTCTACGCAGCAAGTGTGCTCATGTTTTGCTCTACAAGTAGTGTAAAAATTACAAAATAAAACGATTGAAAATGGTGCTATGTGTGTGCATGTGTGTGCCTTCATTGTGTGATCATTTTCAGTGCACTCTTACCGTTCATAAACATGGAATTTTAACGCGCCCAGATTTCCACCTTGGAATCTTATTTCCGCCTTGGAGTACTGCAATATGATAGGTTGCAGGCAGTATTGCTGAAAGTATTTATCTGTGCAACTTTGATTGCCAGTAGCATTTAAGGCTCTTTTAAACAAAGTGCACAGGCCTGTGCTTGAAACATCGACTGCTTTTGCACAATGTAGCCATTTTATAGTGTTCAAACATGTATACCATGTCATGATGTATGTACTAAGCTTGTCTCTTTGCAGTGCCCAGTCTGGTGAGGGGCTTTTTCATAATGTAGGTTAACTTATGCTAGGAAAATATTTTTTCTAGGCCGGGAGTGCATTCAGACCACAGCTAATATTCCAACGTAAATTACACTGGGCATGCTTTCATGCATGCAAGTCATTAATAATTCCATAAATGTGCTCTCTACTGTCTGCTAGCAAAGGGACATTTCCTTTACATACTTTGCGTATTATTTGTTAGCTTGGTTTTGGTTTTAGTTATCAATCCCCCACTCCTGCCTTCTTTTTTTTTTTAACACTGAAGCTTTTTAAACTAGCTGTAATTTTTGTGGTCTAATGGGCATGAGCCACTATATGGCCTATCTGAAAACTATTATCATCATAAATGAGTATGTTGTCATAAACATGTACAGTAAACTCATGGTAAATGAAACCTGAAGGAACCAGGAAAATGTTTCGTTTAAGAGGAGTTTCGTTATTGAGAGATGAACAGGAGTACAGAATTCAAGCTCGGAACCAATCACATTAGAGTAGAGGTTGCTGCAAGCAGCAATTTTGTTTAAGAGAGTTATGTTTGATGGGAGTTTACTGTATGTGCCACAGAAGTTGGGTAAATTTCACTGCTGACAACTTCCACTGAAAAGAAAGAGGGCAACAGCTAGCCCAACAAATGCCTGTGAAGAGACAGTGGCGAGCCAAAGATCTCGAGTACATACAACAAGAGAATACCATGGAAATGGAAAAGGAGTGGCAACTGTGAGAAGACCCCCGAAGCGATGGAAGAACTTTGCCTATGATGACGTGCCCGTATCATGTCTGACTGTGATTTGACTCAAACCTCTCTGCACTGAGAATCAATGTAGAAATGACTTAGCGTCACCTAGCTAGAGCCTAGCAATGACCTAGACGCAACCTGCACCACCAAGCTAAGGTCTAGAAACAGACTAGAATCAATCAGATAAGTCTTCAGAACTGTCCAGTTTCTCTGTTTCAAGACTTGTGTGGCTTTTCGCAAGCATTACCATTTTTTTCTTGTAACTTCTCGTTGCAAGGTATCTCTTGTACTTTCACAGTCCCGAGGAAGTGGTAAGCTTGTATTAATTATTCAAGTTTGTGGGCACACATGCACATGCATTTGCAAGTGGAGATTCGGGGTTTTTTGTTTGCTTCAATTGTTTGTGCCTTGCTTTTTTCCAGGTAAAATCAAGTTTTATTGAAAACAGAGACACCTGCTTCTATTTCACCTTTGAGAATGTGTCCAAAGGAAAACTTAAAACAGTCAAAAGCATGTGAGTGATTTTTTTTGCTTTGCATATGTATTATTGTTTATATTTATACCTTAAGGTTGGTTAGGTAAAAAAAAGGGGTATTTTACTTCATTACATTGAAGAAAAAAGCCATTTTTCTTTGTTATACACAATATTAGTTCTCATTAACTTCATTATATTGAAGTTTATGATAAAATTCAATATTCCACCTTTGATGTGAAATATAATCGCCGACAAATTTTTTCTTGCACACAAAAAAAAAGCGCGAAATTCAAAGGAGCTAAAAAAAGTGCTCAAGGAATCGGGCAGTTTGACAACACAAATTTCAATTATGAAACAAAATAAAATTTTGTGTAATATATCATAACATATCGTTAATACTCATACCTGCTACTGCAGGTATTAGTATTAACTTTTATGGGTACTTTCATGGTTTGCTATTACCCTGGCTACTTTTATAGTTTGATACTTGACCAGCAAAGTCTTTTGCACAGAATGCTAATAGCTGGAAGGAATTAACACCTGTTTAGTACACTGTGGTTATTGGTGTAAACTTAGTTTTCTTGTGTTTTCAACTGTGGTGGTTTGCCAGTGTAAGTTTTAATAAGTTTGTCCTGATAATAATACGAGAACAAATTTACCAGAAACCATGTTTTGAATTAAAGTTACCAAAAGGAAGCATAAGCAAAACTGTGTGGCCACATTTTCTGCATGTCTGGCAGTCTTGGTTTTAATATCTCCATTCCAATGGGTTGATGAATATTTCTAATAACACGCAACTTTTCTGATTTAAAGAAGATTGGTGTGTCATAAGTTATGACAGCCTACAACTTTACCACGGGGAGAACTGCCATCAAGTTTTAATTAAGAAGGAAAAAAGTTTTTGTTAATAATTCATTATGTGTCTTCGAATGCAACGAAGTATTTCCACCTTGATGTAGAGTTAGTGTGTGAAAATACAGGTGCCTGTCGAAGCATTTTTATGAGAAATATGTGTTGTCCAATAAAAAAAACACCCTGTATAAAAACGTGAATTCTTTTTTTTAAGGTTTTTTACTAAGCACATGCTTATTAAGAGAGTATGTTTGTTGTTGATACATATAGAAACCGCCAGGCCCCAGAAAATGCCTCATAGCAGCTTTTTGTGCCCTGTGTCTGCCAGAGTGGTCTAGTGGTTATGGAGCTTAGCTCTTGACCTGAAGGTCACTTCTACGAAAATTCGACCGCCATGGCTGAGGTCACATTTTTTAGAGACAAAATGCTGGAGGCCTGTGTATTGCGCGATGTTCATGCATGCTAAAGAACACAAGATGGTTGAAATTTCTGGAGCCCTACATTATGGTGTTCTCATAATCATATCGTGGTTTGGGACGTAGTACCCCACAAGTATAATAATAATAATAATAATAATAATAATAATAATAATAATAATAATAATAATAATAATAATAATAATAATAATAATAATAATAATAATAATAATAATAATAATAATAATAATAATAATAATAATAATAATAATATTATTATTATTATTATTATTATTATTATTATTATTATTATTTTATTGGGCTCTGTGTAAAGATTACTTCCCAACATGAATATAATAGTGATGGTATTTGTATTCCTACGCTGTGTAAAATTGAAAAATGATGAAAGGCATTGATTTTTTACTATTGTAGAAGTTTGCTTGCCATGCCTTGTTGATTCATAGTGCACATCTAGTAGCCATAGTCGAGCACATTATTTCTATTAGCTGTCACTGCTCGTTACTGCCACTGGCATGGTTGTTGGTTTTCACCAATTGGTGGATCTGACAGTGTGGCGTGTCCGGCCAGCATGCTCACTGTCCTATACTTATGGCTTGAATAGCGTGAACGCACAATCTGGAGAAGATTTTGGGATCTTGCTACTGCAGGCACAAGTATTAACATTATGTCAGAGATAACAATGAGCAGTCACTGCATCTTGACCATTTTTATGTCTTCTATGGCAAAAGAAACTACCCGTGACATTATTTGCATTGAGGTTATCAGTTATAGCAATTAAATCTGGCTCCAAGGTTTCTGTGCGGGAAGCTAAGCTGTTCAGGGCTGATTCAACCAAACTTGCATCATTCAATTGGTGCCTGGAAAACCAATTCTTGGTAAATGACCACAGAAAATATAACCTACAAACACAATTTTCAAAACACAGTGCCTAAGAAAACTTTCATGAAAAAAAAACATCTTCTGCCATGTGAATTTTGTCTTGCTGTTGTATGATGACACTATGAAGCAAGCTGCTAGCAAAAAACAAATAATTGAGCTACCATAAAATCCCGAGCAAGTGCCCCTTCTTTTTGTCAACAGATGTGCAATATGTGCCAGTGACAAAGCAATGCCCCCCACCCTCTTCCACTGTTTCCACTGTTTCATTCACTATCTTGGAAACACTGAATGCGTGTGCACTCAATGGAGCATTTGAGTAGAACTATGAGTGCACACTGTTTGTTCTTAGTGGCTTTTGTCTGCCCTCGTTTAATTTTGCTACATGATTAAGCAATTATTCTTATCAGGTTATCTTTAGCCATGGGGGGGGGGGGGGGCAATTCATGGTAGTCTAAAAATGTACTGAAGTTTCGTGAATATAATAATTGCAGCAGTGAGGAAAATAAGCAGACACATTTTGGATTAGTTTGCCCTATTGGAATGCGTGTTACAGGGAGCTTTTGATATTGTGGCATTTCATTTTATTGTTGATCTAGCCCAGGATAAATCATGTCAAGACTCCTTGAGAAGGAAAGTAAAAAGCATTTGTGTTAATGCCTTTGATAATTTAACATAATATAACAACGCTGCATTCTTTTTGTTTGAGTTACTTTTGTGCTGTCCATTCCACACTTCTTGTCATGGTAGCAAGTGGCATTGGCTAACACTCCCAGGATTACAGAAATATAAACGCTGAATAAGGTTGATTGGAAAAGAACCGCCAATGTAGGTCAGTTGGTAGATCATCGGATACATTATTCTTTGTTGCTTTAGTCCCTTGTCTCGATTTTTCATCCACTTTAATTCATTTCCATTTATATTGTAATTGCTTTACTACAGTTGAAATATATGTACAAGAGATACCCCCTATACCTTGCAGCTTCGCTGTCTGTTGTTTTCCTTTGGTCGCGTGTAACCAAAGGAATGATCCCTCAATCAATCCCTCCTGTTTCGTTCGTACTACTGGAGGAAATAGCTATTTACAGCCTATTTTTTTTTTATTCATATGTAGTTCGTAGATGTTGAGCGCTAATACATTATTATTTCTCCCAACTGTTTTTATCTCTCATTTCAGTTTGATCAAGGCTTTGACTGATATTGCCAATGGCACCATGCCTCTGGATATGGATAGAATGGCTGTTGTAATTCAGAGGCGACGTCTACGGATACTGAATCAGGTTTTGTATTTCTTCCGCTGTTACACAAATTGCATCAAGGGAAAGGCCACATTTGACTAATGCCTCAAAAATGATGCTTGTGTCAATGTTTACTGGCTTCATTGTCATAATAGCAATAGGGCTTGTAAAGAAGTTGAAAAGTTAGTTGATATTGAATGAACGATTATATAATCAGTTATACATTGTAATGTAGTTGCGCTGAGCAAAACGCGCAGATTTACGAAACAGGAGGACAGGGACAGGTGGTGTGCAGTTCTGCCCCACTGGTTCACACCACCTGACCTGTCCTCTTGTTTCGTAAGTCATTCATGCATTTTGCGCAGTGCAACTACACTATATAAACCGGAATATAAGTCGAGATATTTTCAATAGAACAACGAGCTAAGGTTGCCCTTTGTCTTATATAGCGGCGTCTAGCCAACAGTGCACCGCTGTCTGGCAACATGTGGCTTGCATGTGCATGAGAAGCTGGACACGGCCATATTCGCATTCAAATCCAATAGCAAGTTGTTTTTTTTCTCTTGTCTGTTTTTTTGTGTTCGTGCTTTGCCTCTGATCTGTTTAAGTTCTCGCTCTGCTTGACATTGTGTTTCATTTTTAGTGGTCTTTTTTTTCGTTCACAAATATCAGTAGCGGTAAGAGAAGGCAGTACTCAGCTGCGTTCAAACTAGAGGGTGTTGAGTTTGCAGAAGCGAATGGGAATAAGGCTGGTAAGCGCCACCTTGGTGTATCAGGAAAAAGCGTGCGCTATTGGAGGGTGCAGAAGGGGAAGCTGCAGATGTGCAATCCTTGAAAATGTCATTTCGTGGGCGATGTGCGGTTCATACGCAGTTGGAGGATAACCTAGGAAACTTTGTGTGGGAATTTCATGCGTGCTCGCTGCCAGTGACCGTGGATACCATTCGCAAAAAAGCTGTGGAACTCGCTCGTGAAGCTGGGCTCACGAGAGAAGAGCTTCGTGCACCAAACTCTTGGGTGCGTCGATTCACGAGACGCAAAGGATTTTCTTTCCGGTGGCGCACATCCATCTGTTACCCATTATTTACTCACCTCTACGGATTACCCACCTCTACGGAAATTACCCACCTCTACGGAACGTCTGACGTCACTGTCACAATGTTGCCCGACTTTAATGCACAGCCACCAACACTAATTGATTGATATGTGGGGTTTAACGTCCCAAAACCAGTATATGATTATGAGAGACGCCGTAGTGGAGGGCTCCGGAAATTTAGACCAGCTGGGGTTCTTTAACGTGCACCCAAATCTGAGCACACGGGCCTACAACATTTCCGCCTCCATCGGAAATGCAGCCGCCGCAGGCCACCAACACTAGTAGCAGCAGAAAGAAAGTAGCGGGAGCCACAGCAGCAACAATGGCCATTGAACAATTTTCCATCATGACCTTCAAGATTGCAGGCATGCTTGGTTGAACCGGGCTCGCTAGATGGCACGCCCTGTCCAGTTTAACCAGGTGAAAATAAGATTTTTGAACCACTCGCGTCATTCCCTATAGTAACATCCGGCGATTATTTTTTTCATGAACAGAAATGAACAAGCAGCATTTTATGACGTCTGTTGGTGCACGGAAGGCTCATTATTTAGTGCAGCTAGATTGATTACTAGTGATTAGTTGTAGGTGGTTTTTCTGACGCCATCGGGATCATTTTGTGAACCTCCTATTGTAACATATTCATTCCCGTGCACATACCTCAACTTTTCGGTAAGTAGGGCACTGCTGTTGATAATATTGTCATTTTAGAAGTCGTCATACATTGAGCTGTCACTTTAACGTACATTGCTATTCGATTTTAGTGTCTCGTTAAAGGGGGGGTGACATAAGTTTTGGCATTGCGTTTTATTGCTCCAATGTGTTGCTGGGGGCCTGTTCGTCATAACACCCGACATTCTTTGCTGTGGCGTGTGACAGATAATTAATTATAGGCCTCTCATTATCCACCAGCTTCAAGTTTTGATTGGAAAGATCTCCAAAAATGACAAGCCACCGGGTGCAAGTATCGCCACCTAGCGTGTGCTGCTTTAGATCACGTCAGCACGCATAACTGTGACACTCCTGTGCATGGTCTGCATCAAGAATTCATTTTGAACAGAAACAAGACAGCATAGTTGCCAAATACAAAACTTTCAACGTGTGCACCGCGGTGACGCACTCGCGACCAGCCACCGACTGCGAAAACAAACGTGGCAAAAATGAAATGCCGGCTATGACGTCATCATAACTTGTTTTATTGACGGCAGGATGGTGACATGAGAGAAGCAAGCCCAAGGGGTCCCTTTAGATGTAGATAATACCTCCAGAATTCGGGCTTCAAAATTTCTGTAAAATACTTTCTCGCTATATTTGCTTTGATATTTTGCAGTTGTACACGTCTTCACGTGAATCAATCCCACAGGCTATTTCGACCGCAAAATGTTTTGTGCCAGTACCCCTTTAACTCTTTCATTACCGCGCGAAAATGGTTGTTTTTCATATGTCTCTAGAAGATCGCTTTTGCCAATTCAAAATGTACTCCAGCACGCATTGCATCATACCAAACTTTGCACAATAAAATTCTCTTCCCCAAAAATATATGTTGTAGAGCAACAAAAATATTTTACAATGAATAAGAATGTGAAAAGTGTGGAATTTTCGGTTGCCAGCTGGTAAACAGTGGGATAAAAAGCCCTATACACCAGAACACAGCGAGCTCAGTGCTTCCTGCCATATTGAAAAGCACGTGGCGCCATCTATTGCAAGTGCGGTGAAGCAACACTCTCAACTGCCAGGCGAGCAGACGCCCTACAAATCAAACGCGAAACTTCAGAACTCGAGTCCGGCTGTAAGCATGTTTCGCGCTGTTCCTGTGCTGGAATTTTATGCTGATTTAGTGTTAAACGTCGAGGAGACCTTCCTCGACAGTCCAGAATGTCTGCAGCACGTGCATTTCAGACTACGGACGCAGCTTCATCTGGTACGTACTATTGCGATTGAAAGAAACACGAACAGCAGAAAGCGTTGCTTTCGACTCGGAACTGTGGCGTGCCTTTAATGTGACAAAGCAGAATTTGTGCTGTAATCCAGTGTCAGCGTTGCGCTAGAATCTGGTTCCTACTTACGCTCATGCACCGCATGTGTATCAATCGCCAGTCGGGCCGGGCACTCGGAACACACGTGCGCTGCAAAAGTGCTAGCCAGAACAAGATATTAAAATACTACGGTGACGCCAGCCGAAAGCACGTGTAGATTCGCCTAGTGACAGCCAAGGCATGTCGCAGTGCGACCGAGTAGAATCTGCGTCGTTCACGCATCGCGATTGCAGGCCGTTGCAGCTGTACTAAACATGCGCGGTGCGTGCATCAACGCGTGAGTCGTAATACATATATCCCATTATTGACATGTGGCCTGCGAAAGAGTATGGCAATAGTTCTGTGCCTCATACTACAGGCATACTGCACGCAAATTGCTGTTGTAAAATGAAACAGCTGGAGACGTGCTTGAATAAATGCAATAAGTATACTTACTTGTACACTTCACTGGGCTCTTAGTTTTTCCTGCTAAATGCGGTTATATCCTAAGGTGGCAGAGCTCGGCATTTTTCATTGTGGACGGAAATGTGTGCAATCGCAAAACACCGACCGGCACGATTCCCGTGATGCGCTGTGAACTTCACAGGCAGTGCTCAGCAATCTCTTCCTCTTGCGCTCTTTCTTGTCGCATCAGATGACAGCGCAGTGGTAACCAGATGAATTTTTATGAGCGGGCGCAGCGTTCATAGGCGCTTTCTTACATTTTAAACTCCCAGAGCCACTGCTCGCCATGCTAGCGAGGCGCGCCGTGGCCGTTGCAAATAAATTATGGCGTCTCTGGGAGCAAGGGTATACTGCCGAAGGCGCCTGGGTGCGAGATAGGCGTGCTCTCGTCTATATATGCAAACAAATTCAGAACAAAGACAATTCAGAATATACATTTTGTAGCTAAATGACCCAGGAAGAGTGTAAAGAAAAAAAAAAATGAATGTTGTACAAAATGTTTCTCTTTACATAGACAAAGAAAATCATAACCGAGGTGCTGCCCCGCAGGGGCGTCTGTGAAAGCAGGCGTTTGGTGTATAGCGACACCATGGACCCGAGCTAACGGGGGGTTTCGACTCTCTCCCACGCCTAGCCGTGCCTGGCTGAGCCGCGTCCTGGGAAATTGGGATCCTGGGATTTGAGCTGACACCGGGTGATTGGACTTCTAAGGTCCCCCAGCAGAGGCAACACACTTCTTTGGCCCCAGCCTCACGTAGACGGCACCCCTGGGCTGGGCCACCCAGCGGAAATCGGCAGTCTGCTTCTCCTTATCTCTCTCCCCCTAAGCTTCGTCTTTATCTCTCACTTTCTATCTGTCCTGTCATCTTCTCTCTTCCTTTAACTTCCGAATTTCCTGGCGGCGAGGGTTAACCTGGTGTACCTATCCAACCTAGGATAATTATAACAGGTTATAGTGGCGATGTATGGCTGGCATCTCCAAGTGTTTGCTTTCAACCGTGTAGCGTCTCTATGTTGGGCTCGGTCGTGGGTGGCCACCATCGCCGCCGAACTTTATAGTATTTTTATGGCAAAAGCTTTCCCCCCTTCCTCATCGCCCCCTGAAAGGGTGGCGCACCGAAGACACTTTTCTGCCTAACACAGCAAAGCGGACATTCCCAAAATACTATGTTATCCACAGTCAAAACGAAAAGAAGACAGTCCGAGCCATTTCACCTTTCGTCGTTTCCAAAACTCTCACAGAAGCAATAGGCCCAGGTTATAAAGTGACCAAGATGGGAAGTGGCGATCTTCTTCTAGAGGTTCGTGACAAAGCTCAGTATGAGAAGCTGTCTAAGCTAGTAGCGTTTGGGGAAACCCCTGTTTCGGTGGGCCCACACAGGTCCATCAACACTGTCCGTGGCAATATTTCCGATGATGATCTTACAGAACTTTCTGAAAGTGAGCTGCTCGAAGGTTGGCAGGACCAG